CTTACAGTCAGTCTTTTTAGAAACCTTGCTGTGAGTAAATACTTGAAGAAAGTGGCCTAAATAACGAACACCATAAATCCATGCAGAAATTAAATTTAAAAATGTCTTTCACTCTTATTTTTTCAGTCTCATGTGTTGCTATTATGGAATATTATTTACTATACAACGTAGAACATAACCATTATGATATTATTAAAAAGCATGCCAAATACTCATAATGTAATCATTACAATGTAATCATCATAATGTAATCAACACAATGTAATCAACTGAGTATGTATCTGCACCTTATTTTAGCCTCAGAGGTTAATATTAATGTTAGCTAATTTATGTTAGCCCTGAATGTATGAATATCCACCTTTATTAGTGTTGCAGTTTTTCACTACGTTGAAGGACAAATATATTACCAACCCTCTAGTTAGACAATGTGCAACAAGCTGACGCTGCCAAGGTTTGCAGTTTATGGGTGAATATTTAAAAGAAAACAACCAGAGATGGTCGTGCAACAATTATGTTCGGCTGAGGGACCAAACAGTAAAAGAAATGATTGACAAACTTATCACCTAGGAGTACTGAGCCCCTAAAGGGAGTATTTGGTGTGCACCAATTAGTATCTGGTGAGTACCACTTAGTATCTGCTGCGCACCAGATACGGTAACATTTTTTTAAAATCACCTGTGTCCCTTTAGGGGCTGCTTATAGGGGTGTGGATCAATGATTGTGAATGGCTGAGGGAATGATGATGCTTAAGTGATGAAAAATTTGTTAAATGATAAGAAATTGGTGCAAAACAGTTTTGTACACACTTACAAGTGTCCGGTCTTGGTTGTAACCTCATTATTGCAATAAAGACTGAATTTGGACCTACACAAGCGGCTTCTGACTTCTGATTTGGCGGGGAAGGAGAAAACCCTAACACTATAACATATTGTGGATAGCAAATCACAGGGAGGTCTGTTACACACACACACATATACTTTGCCTTTTACCAATTATAACTTCCGTTCCATCGGCAGAGCAGTTCTCCAGGGTTGGGATCTCCACTGTCACCTCACAGAAGTAGATCCCTTGATTCTTGAAGGTAGCATTCCTTAGAGTCAGTGTGGACCAACTGTGTCCCACCTCCTGGTACACTAGGAGGTCTCTGGGGTCCCGATCCTCTGATACGTTTCTTCTATTGTCTGTAATATTAGAGGACACCTGCACACGGCCTGCCTGGGATCCATTACTATGAGACCAGGTCACTCGAACCCTAGACTCGTCTGGCACCT